ACCCGCCATTCGAGATGAAGACTTTCGGGCCGAAGGGTCCGAAGATGTATTTCTGTCTCGACTGTGCGACCGTGGATTTCTGCGAGGACTGCTACCGGAAACAGATCGCGTTCTATGATGAGACCGGCGAGGGCTTTTGGTTCAAGTGCTGCTGGGCACGGCACCGGTATCTGCCGCAGCCGATCGATGACTGGATGGGGGTGAAGGATGGGGTGATTCGCATTGGGAGGAAGGAGAAGTTGTGGAAGGATTGGATGATGTCGGTGAGGGATCGGTGGAAGAGGAAGATCAATGAAGTTTGATCGGAGTCTATTTTGGGACAAGTTCACGATAATGCCTAATGTTGATACCTCATTGAATATTGAACGAGTGTTGGAACAACCAGCAACTGGCTTTCTCGATCTTGAATATGGCTTTTACGGGTCTTTCTAACTAATATCTACGCCTTCAGACAACGGTATGGGAAACCGTCCGCTTGAGTGCACTCTGCACGATATGACCGATCATTTCATCGAACGAGACACCATTATGCTCAGCGATGAGCGGCAATTGCGACCAGCTAGGGAGCAACCCAGCCAGCGGATTGATCTGTGAGCATTAGCAACCTCGCCACTTAAACACGAGCCTTCAAAGAAACAGACCTCCATGACATGAGCCACTCCAGCTTCATCCATGCGGACATCAACTCTGCCCCCATCGCGGCAGCGCAGCGCTCTCCACGCCCTCAACGCCGTCTCACAAGCCAGGTCTGCCTCCTTGTCCTCGCGAGTGACCTTGACCTCATCCGCCTCCCCGTTCCAATCATCCGACGACTTGGACTTCTCCGTCGTGAACTCAACCGAGCCCTTGTCCCCCTTCGCTCCCGACCAAACAATCTCATCCACCCCAACGACCCACGCATCCACCCCCGTCCCTAGAATCCCGACCGTAAACTCCCTCCCGGGGAGAAACGACTCGACCAAAACCCCCAAAGAAGAGGGACTCGCCGCCCGCAACGCATTCACCACGCGCACCAACTCTTTTTCCGAGGCCACCCGATTCCCCAGGGCGATCCCCTTGGACGACCCCTCAGCCAACGGCTTGACGAACAGCGGCCACCCCCCGGGCCCGAGCAGCGTCTCGGCATGTTGTGAGCGGCGCATCTGTCCCAGGATCTCCTCGCCGCTCAACTCCTTATTTAGGGGACTGTCATCGAAATGAACGACCGCAAACGGCGCTGTCGCGACCCCGAAATGCTCCAGCACCATTTTCGTGCGCCCCTTGTCTAGACACAGCGCCATGGTCGCGGCGTCGGAGAAGGTGCGCGGGATGCGGTGCGCCTCCAGCACGGCGGCGACCTGCGCTTCGCGCGCGGGGCCGTACACGCCCTCGGTGATGTCGAAGGCTAGGTCCCATTTCGGGGTTTCGGGAGTAGTGAGGTGGGCGAGGAGGGCGTGGATGCTGGGGATCGGGTGGACGGTGTGGCCCTGGGATTGGAGGGCGGTCGTGATGGCGGGCGCGGCGGCGCCGACTTCGAGGTGCGAGAGGGAGGCGGCGGGGTGGTGGTGGAGGGCGTAGACGGCGGGGTCTTCGTAGATGAGGGCGATTGTTAGGGGGTGTTTGGTCATTTTGGGGGCTGTTCTTTTGGGTTGGTTGGGTTGGAGGAGGAGGAGGGGGTTAGGGATGATCTGCAATTTCCTTGGAGGTACTTGAAGGGCAAGCGCAGCTGGCCTTTATTGCTTTATTGATAAGCTCCTTTTATAAGTGAAGCGTGGCGACAGAGTTGCGGTGTGAAGTGGTCAAGGACCTGCATGGCGATGGTCAGGTCAGTTGGCTCCTGGTGTTTTCTGCATATGCTTTGCTTTGCTGGCCATGCGAGATTGGGAGGCGGCTGGCTTCCGTGGATGCTGATCTATGGAGCAGGATTGGTGCATCGGGCTTCTGGAAAGCTGGACAAGCTGCATGCATGCAACAAATCACGACGACTTTGACAGCGGTTTTTCGACGACTCTGAATAGTTGGAATGCTATCAGATGAATGAAGCTCATTTCATGATTAGAAATCGCGCTTCTGCTACCTTTTATCAGATTGAATGCTTTTGCAGTCTATATGAGAGTGGTCGAATCATACCTGGACGCAGGAAAGGTTGAAGCCATCGCTTTGAAGGGCTGGACTTTTCCTTGAAGCAGGCGATTACATGACTCCAGCAAACCTTACAGCCCGTCAAACGTTGAACGAATATGTACGACAGCTTGAATCAGCTAGACTTGGGCAACACACGCTGACTGGTGGAAACTGCAAACCCAGCGTCATGCTCAGCATGGCACGATTTCATTTCCCCTCATTTTCGATTCTGCAGGACCGGTTAATTTGCGGAGGCTAATGCAGTGTGACGGAGAGGCATCAATTCAGGGCTTCGGCTAATTTTTGGCTTAGTCTCGCCAACTTCCCCTCATACCATGCAGTATACGGCTATAAATGCGCAGATCCACCTCCGAATTCATCCTCCTCCTCATACCCCGGATTCCAAACCATGTCTGCGATTCTCGCCGTGTCTCTGCTGTCGGTTGCGGCTGCAGCTGCACCGTCGCTTCAACCACGACTGCAGGATGGATTGGCCCAAACGCCACCGATGGGGTAAGTTCACGCCTTGATCGGATGGCCTTTAGCTAATGCATCCAGATGGAACACATATAACCACTATTCCTGCTCCCCCAATGAGACTATCGTCCGGTCCAATGCCAAAGCGTTGGTGGACTTGGGCCTCGACTCGCTGGGCTACCGCTATGTCACCACCGATTGCGGGTGGTCGGTGGCCGACCGGTTGGCCGATGGATCCCTTACCTGGAATCCAGAGCTGTTCCCACAGGGCTTCCCAGCGCTGGGAGAGTATATTCACGACCTGGGGCTGTTGTTCGGGGTCTACGGAGACGCAGGGATTTTGCTATGCGGCAGCCCGCCGAACAACACGGGCAACTTAGGTATACCCCTGTGCCCAATGTTGCAATGGGTGGGATTCTAATCGCTGCTCGCTACAGGTCACGAAGAACAGGATGCTCAGAGATTTGCCTCGTGGAAGGTAGATTCTTTGAAGTGTAATCCCCCCCTTAGACACAAACCTCCTTGCCAAAACCCCAGAGACTCACATTCACTCCAGACGACAACTGCTACTCCGACGCAGCGACCAACTTCCCCAACGTCAACTACGCGCCCAGCACCTCACCCTCCTCGCGCTACGCCACCATGTCCCAGGCCCTGGCCCAGCTGAACCGCACCGTGCTGTTTCAAGTCTGCGACTGGGGCGTGGACTTCCCCGCGCTCTGGGCCCCCTCGCTGGGCCACACCTGGCGCATCGGCAACGACATCATCCCGGCGTGGCGCACCATCTACCGCATCCTCAACCAGGCTGTGCCGCAGACTGACGTCGCCGGACCGGGCCAGTGGCCCGACCTCGACATGCTGGAGGTCGGCAACGGGGTGTTTTCGCTGCCCGAGGAGCAGACCCACTTCTCGCTGTGGGCGATCCTGAAGAGTCCGCTAGTCATCGGGGCTGCCCTGCGGGACGCAGCCACGGCGATTAGTGAGAGCTCGTTGGCGGTCCTCAGGCAGGAGGATGTGATTGCGTTTAACCAGGATGCGCTGGGCACAAGCGCGAGCCTGCGGCGTCGGTGGTCGGAGGAAGAGTACGAGGTGTGGAGCGGGCCGTTGTCCGGGGGCAGGACCGTCGCGGCGCTGGTGAACTGGCGCAACGAGTCGCGCGAATTGACCCTGGATTTGCCGGACATTGGGCTGCAGTATGCCGGCAGTGTGAAGAATATCTGGGAGGGGAGTGTGGCGGAGGGGGTGCGGACATCGTACACGGCGACGGTGGCGGCCCATGGGACGATGCTGCTGGAATTGGGGGAAACCATCGCTGACGGGGTTTATCCTGGGGATGTGTTTGGGAAAACATCAGGGTAAGTGCGCGGTACTACTCTGCTGGACGATGAGCTGACCGTGAGATGCAATGCAGGACCACCACGACGTTCTCGCCCATCTACGCCCTCACCACCAGCAAGAACTACAGTCTGACAATCACCCTCTCCAAACCGCTCTCCTCTCCAACCACGATCCTCCTCTCCACCGGCTCCAACACAACCACCCGTCTCACCATCCCAGCCTCCACCACGAACCTCACAACACCCCTCTCCCTCTCCGCCTCCTCCAACGCAACCCTAACCCTCCACCACCCCTCCACCCCCGCCCTCCCCATCGCCTCAATCACCCTGACCCCACCGCAAGGAACCTACGCCCCCAGCACAACCTTCACCCTCTCCGGCACGACAGCCCTCACCACCTGCGGCGCAGGGTACTGCCTCCCAGTCGGCAGCAAACTAGGCTACCTGTCCCCGTCCGGCTCCGCCAGCACAACCATCCACGCCTCCTCAGCGGGCACCAAGTACGTAGAAGTGGACTACATCAACAACGACATCGCCTTCGATTCGTCGTGGAACGAGGGCCGCAACGCCCGCAACCTGACGATTTCTGTGAATGGCGGGGCGCCGGTGCGGCTGGAGGTGCCGCTGAGTGGTCGGCACAGCGAGCTGTTTGGGCCTGGTTTGGGGTGGTGGGATAGTGCGACGCTCGGGGTGAGCGTGGATGGGTGGACGGTGGGGGTGAATGAGGTCGTGGTTGGGAATGTGGGCGGGGGCGAGGGGGTGCAGAGTTATGGGGCGGATTTGGTCGGGGTGAGGGTTTTGGATTAGCTTGCTGCAGCTGGTATCCATGTGTGTTGTTGATATTATGAACTAGCTCGAGGGGAGACGGAAGTGTGGGGGCGCCGGATAGTGAAATATGTTTGTTAAAAGAGTTATGTGATTAAAGAGTTGCGCTCTCTACGTACGATACATTTAGGTTCGCTTCTAGAAGCCTAGCTTGGTCTTAGAACAAACCAGCTTCATGAATCAGTGACTAAGATTGCAATTGTGCAATATATACAGGCAGTCAGGAAAAGTAGTCGAATAGCTAATCAATTGACATAAATGAAACAAACAGAGGAATGGAAGCCAGAGATATCCACCCTCTCAGAACAAAAACAGTCTGTTACGGCTCCTGCAGAACGCTTCCACCCGCCTCCTTCCTCGACTCGGCCACAAGATCCCGCAACATCCCCAAAAGATGCACCTTGGGCGCCACGCGCTCGACGACGCAGCTCCACCGCGGCGCCTCCCCCTCATACCGAATCTGATACCAGGCCCCGACGTTGCTTCGTCTCGCCCCTCGGGCGTGACCACCGCATCGATCACCGCGTCCGTCCGCGGGTGGAACTGCGGATCGAGCCGGAAGACCACCTGCGCCAGCCCGTCGGCGATCCTGTCGGCGTGCTGGTCCGCTGCCAGCCCGGCCGGGATCCAGGCCCGGAACGCCCAGACGTGGCCGGCGTGGTCGCGGAACGCCTGCGTCTGGACGAGGGTGTGGCTACCGTGGCCGGTGGGGTCCTCGAGAGCGACCAGGCCGCCTTCGACGATGGAGTACGCTATTGCGCTGTGGGAGGGTTGAGGTTGGGGGCGGGGCCGGTTGGGGCGGGGTGGGGGGGGGGGCATGGACATTGTGTCGGTGGGGGTGGGAATAATAACAGAAATGGGTTAGGGGATTGGGCTCTTAGTTATGGGACTTACGGTCAGGTTTGGGTGATACGATGCACGGGAGGGGAGGGTGTTTGATGAGCGAGGGGTTGGTTTTGAGGGTTTTATATACGCTATCTTTGCACGGGAATGGTTGGGGCGAGAAAGAGATGATGAGCATTGAACGGGGGGCTTTTCATGGGTCAGAGCGTATGGAGTCCTCCGGCGGGATGAAAGAGCGTTGATATCAATTCGGGAAGCAGTATCTGGTTTTGGCTTTGGTTATACACCTGGATAGATGGTTGCAAAGGTATTGTATACAGCGCTAGAGCGGTCTTTTGAGCAACAAGCTTTGACAGTCCTTTGTTAGTGCTATGTTCTTGGTTCATCTGCATAAAGATTGATGTTTTCGGGTAGAATCAGGTGAGCTCCTTCTGAGTGGAGGCAAGAAGAGATCAAGTCAACTTCATATAATTGAGGATGCGTCGGTAGCATGTTTCTAGGCGCAGGGCTACACCATCCCGGTGCTGAGTAGCAACAACAAGAGATTGCACTCACAATTAGGAGACGAAAGTGAGGATCTCACGTATTATTAACATGATACAAAGCTTACTACGGTGCTGACAATGTCCACTGATTGACAGACACTCGTCCTCGTTAAGCGCATTACAGATGAAGCTATTCCCTTCAGTCTAGGGTATCATCCTATCCAGCCCTAGCCGGCAGGATGTGTCTTCTCATCCTCAACTGCTTCCCCATCCGGCCGAAGATAGATTGCTGTGATCAGGTGCAATATTTGCCTAATTAACTTAGTAGTAGCCTATTCGCCTATTCTGCAGCCATGACATTCACAATTGATGGCATGCACAACCCTGCACTATAACCCACGGTATCACGGGAGAGAACAAAAAGATAGCGTATATATGAAATCATGTACTCGTCTACTTAATAGAACATACGAAGACAGAAAGAGGGATCATCTACCACTAGAAAGACGGCGCATCCCACGCCCGCAACTCCACCAAACAAGCCACCATATCCGGCCGGTTGCAATCCGTGGCATACGCCACCGGACCGCGACCATCAAGCGACGTCAGCTGCAGCAAGACCGGACGCATCGCAACCATCACGCGCACATACATGGGGGACGCGTAGCGCAGCGCCTGGAAGAACATCTGATCATCAAACAGCTCCTCCAAGACCAGACCCGACTCCAACCCCGTCCTCACCATCCGCTCCACGAGCCCGAGCTCGAGGTCCAGCGTGCGAGCCCGATAATCCAGCAGACGCGGCATGGCGCACTTGACCCCGGCGTCCAACAGCAGCCTGAGCACCGCAACATCCTCCGCCGTCGCCTTATTGGCCCAGCAATCCAGCGCCATCTCCAGCCGACTGGACGTGACATTGGGATCGGCGCCATGCTTCAGCAGCACCTCCACAACCTCCGGATGCCTGTACAGCACCGCCAGATGCACCAGCGGCTGCGCCTGGAGATCGTAGCTGTCCGCGCTGATGTGGAACCTCGTGAGCGCTTTCGTCACGAGCCCTGCATTGCCGGCCCGCACAGCCTCGACGAGAGGCTGGGGTGGCAGCGCCCGCGCCGTGCGGTAAGTGCGCATCCGCGGATGGCCTTTCGCGTCCGGGGCCGGGTACGTGAGCTCGTGGTAGTGCACCGCTTCGGCGAGGCAGCACTCGCGCATCTCGGCGATGAGGCTAACTAGTGCTCGTCTGAGGCCTTTGCAGGTTAGCGAGAGCGCGAACGCAGTCTTGGGGGTCATGTACTCGCCGCAGCTGAGGATTAGCTCCGGGGGCAGCGCGTGAATCCCGGTCGTGTCTGCCATGGTGGTTGCGCTCGGAGAGCTCGACTTGCTGGTTTTCTCGAGGAGTTGCGTCCGGGCGTACCTGTTTGGCCTTTTGCGGGGTAGGTAGAGTTACTGTTCTGTGGGCCTTTTTTTGAGTATAGGCAGTGATGATGAACACTGGCTTACCCTGTGCGAGGTTCCCTGGGCATGCATGCTTGGTACGTGTTCCTTTATATGTAGGGTGTAGGGGTTTCTTTGGAGAGAATAGATCAGGAGTTGATGGAGGGTTTCGGGAGGAACTCCGGGTGATAAATGGGGGGATGGATCGAATTGTTGTGCTTTGAGACGAGAGGGGGAGCAGGAGTGGTGGCAAGATGCTTGCACTGATAGCTTGTAAGGACTGTTGTGTGGGCAGTTGCTTGGAGGTTCATGGCAATGCTGATGAGCTTGCCCGGAGAAGATTCCCGAGGGAGACACTGTTGTTGCGCGTAGACTCAAGTGACCATACCAATGAGCATAAAAGCAGCGTAGAACGATTATAAGACGCTCCTAGTCACGATCCTCACAGTGCTCAGATAAAGTATTACTAGCCCCCAATTTATTATTCCTCGAGAACGTTGTCCACAAAGCATTATATACGTCTACTCGTGATGCTTGCATCTCCTGGTGAAAGGAAACGACAAAGAGTTAGACAGAGACTCGAGAGAAAGACAATGAAATCTTCAGAAGCTTATCCTTCAAGTATACTAATAGTGGAGACCATTGACCTACCTTCACAACCATGGGTACTCATGACCATCCTCCCCAAAACTCTTGCCAGACCAAAGCCAGCCGTATTTACCGACGAAACCAACCGTCTCGGCAGTTTGATGCCCACGCCCTAAGGGTTTTGGATTCGGCTGATCGGGCGCAGGTGCCCGCTTGCTGTGGATCGAAGGGGTTTCTTCCCAAGCATTCGGTGACTAGAACGCGGTGCCCACCAACTTCCAAGCTATCAGCCCACTGCATCAGCCTCGATGGAATCAAAGATGACAGCACAATACATAAACCATCCCAAGTCTTCGGTAACTAGCCTTGCCCTAAAGGTACCGAACTCGCGATAGACGGACCCACCGGACCGGTCGAGACCCATCTGGGCGGGTCCACTGTGGCTGGACGGGCATCTGGAAAATTGGCAGTTTTACGCGAATATGCTCATCTTTGTGCACATGTGTCTTGCAGGCAAAGACTGTATGAAGGGTTGAGGTCTCTTGGGACTACAATGATGAGTATAGTCTTACTTACAATTGTCTCGTGGGCAGATTCTGATATAATGGACTTGAAAGGTGGGAGGGCGAGCACGGTGAAGGATGTTACTTGGTAACAGGGATAAAACTTGTGCTGATCTTAGACAAGGCAAATTCACAATGGGTATATATCAATAGAGTCTGCTTATATGCAGTGGTTAAGGCGACTACAACGCTTCAGTAAGATCCCACTCAACGGGTTAGTAACATGTCCAACGACTGACTATACCTGCCCCGAAAGGAGACGATCTCGCACGACCCCAACCCCCCTCATCCACACAAAGTAGACCCCCGCGGTCATCAGGGTCTGCACTGCAACATCCATAGGCGATACCGTCATCCTCTGCCGCAAGACAACCTCCAGCAAGCCTGCTCGCCCTATCACGCCCACCACGAAGAGCGATACCTCCACAAGCGCATCCAAGATCAGCGGCGAGTACGCCACCCCCGGCGCAAGGAGGTACCGCACCACCATGGTGGCATACAATTTCTGCATGGAGAGCGTCTGCTCACTCACCACGAAGGCATCCATGAAACTCGGCGTCGAATGCCAGCGACACCAGTCCAGAATGGGAAACCCGCCGGAGACTGCACGATGCCCTTTATCCCTCGGAGTGGGCGAGGAGCTCACGATCTTCTGCAGCAATGCTGGGTCTGAGACCGCGATGTTCTGCGAAACAGTATCGGCCTCTTGGCCTGTTGCGCGCATCTCCGTCGATAGTCCCTCCCAGGCGGTGGGGTAGTTGACGATGCGCGTGTAGAAAGGAGGATCGAGGACTTCGACGGTCACGGTCCGCACGGATGTGCTTTCGAAAGTGCATGACGCGGATCTCATGTGGATGGTCTCGCCGGAGAAAGCGCGGCAGGGGATGTAGGTTAGTTCCACCGGGTCGGGAGAGGAGGAGACACAGTGGGCGAGATAGGCGCGGAAGAAAGGTTCGAGTTGCCTAGCAAGGGGTATTGTCAGTATAACCCTCAAACAGGGAGCATGCACGGGGAGAGGCCTACCGTTCAGCCCGGGTCGGATGGCGCCCGATACTCCCACTGCGCACCGGGGTCTTATCCATCATCTTCATCAGGCCCTTCCAGCGGATGCGCAACGCCTCCAGCACGATATACGGCGTCGTCAGCACGCCCGGCAGCGTCCACCGCAGCGCAATCCGCGCCAGGTCCGTGAACCCCATCTGCGCGGGATCGAGCGGCGCGCCACAGCAGGTGATCCGCGTGACCATCTTGACTTTCCCCTCCGGGCTCAACGTGTTGGTGTTCAGCAGCGTGGCATTGGGCTTCCACGCGGCGCCGTGCGCCAGATCCATGAACCGGTTCGCGATGGCGCCGTCGACCTTCTCGAACGGCGAGGCGAAGATGAATTTCTGCCAGGTGCCCTTGTAGTAGGTGGATCTGGGATGGGAGGATGTGGTGCGGATGGTGGAGGCGCTGTCGAGGAACCGAGGTTTGTCGATCTCGGTCCCCTTCTCCGTAGCAGGGATGGGGTTCTCGCCGCGCTCGACCCGGAAGAAGTAATTGCGCTTCTCGTCGTAGGAGTTGTTGATCTCCATGATCATCGCGTCGAGTTCGCGGTCGGCGTTGTAGAGATACCACCACGTCACGACACTGCGCGACCACCAGAAGAACCGCGGGACGGTGAGGAGGTACGCGTGGGGCCATTGGGAAGGGTCCTCGTTCTGCTGCAACTGTTAGCTTATATTCCCGAACTTCTGGAAAACAGGAGCAGTACCTCTTTCAGCAAGTATCGATCCAATTTCGCCCGCATATCGAGATCCTGATCCCCGCGGTGGAGGTACCGCTCCCCGTCGACACTGAGCCAGCACGTCGCCTGCGCCAGGAAGGACCTCCACGATGGACCCGCATGCGTCGAGTCGCGGAGTGTCAACCGCTTGTCGTCGATCGCGAGCAGGTTGCCATAGCGCGCGCGCATCCCGACGGGGATGCCGATCATCAGGAATCTGTTGGCGAATTGGTCCTTGACGGGGTTGAAGCGCACATGATTGAGCTGCACAGGAAATAACAGGGGCTTTCCGAGGACTGATCGCGGATCATCGGAGAGGGGGACCACTGGACGTGATACCAAGAAGAGGCGCAAAAACATGAAGATTAGAACAAGGCATGGCGTCAACAGAAGCAGGGCACCCAGTGCTGTTAGGGCTGTCAGGAGGAAGGCCGTACTTCGGTGCCTCAGGCCGGCGTACAGGGCTAGAGTGACGAGGCCTTCGTACGGCATTGTGCGTTGACCGACACCCTTTCAATAGAGGACAACAAAGAATCGAGAATGGGATGAAGAGCACACAATGGAGAGCTGTACAAAAGTCTTGTTAAACGATTTCAGTTGCAGGGAGCAGCTTTATACATTGGAATTGATGCCTACAGCTGAGCCGTATCGGCAATGCCGTAGCCAAGAGGCTTGTTTTCTTCCCCTAGCACTGTCGAAAAAGATTTCCCAACCCAAGACACCAATACAACAGTACAAGCAAATTACCTTTATCTATCAAAATTGCAAATACAATGACCGAGACAACCAAACAAGCTGCTTATGCAGGACCAACAGATCGGTCTAACCGCAAAAGGACGCCTGGCATGACTGGCATGACGCTAAAAGAAATGTGGCTGAAATCTCCAGCCGAAGCGCGTTCAGCCAGCCAGCCCCAAACCCACAGAATGACATCTGCTCGGGTCGCTCCGGAAGAACAAAAATGATCCAGACAAAAAAAAAAGCTCAAGCTTCACCGTTCGTAGATCCAGTCCGCAGAGATATTCCAGTGTGTGGACCGCCAGAGGTGGAGAGAGTTCCAAGGGTAGAGGAACCAATTCTTGCCCGTCAACTTGTCGATGAAGAACTGCGATCGCCGTCAGTTATGTCCGTCATTCGATGAAAGTGGGGATACAGTCATCACGCACACTAGAGCAGGAGCTGTCATGTACTGTACGATCGATCGCCGCATGAAGCTCGTCGGTATACTCCCTCTCACTGCCGACCTTGACCTCGACCAGAGCAGCCTGGTTCAGCAGCACCGGTCTGATCAAAGCGATGATCATGTCCACGTAACTATCAACTTGGTCAGCTAGCCAGCCAGGCAGAGACACAGGAGGCTGCATGCAAGCCCAACCGACCTTTCAATCTGGAATGTCGTCGACGTGTGGACCCCACCCGAGTTCGGGCCCAGCACGTAGAAGAAGTTCGGGAATCCACTCATGGCAATCGACTTGAAGGCGGCCTTGGATCCATACTGTTGCCAGTGTTCTTCACGCGTTCGGCCATGCCGGCCCCGAAGGTGCGTCTCGTAGTGCGTCAGGGCGAATCCCGTTGCCAAAAGCTGGAGCCACGAGTCAGTCTGCCCCGTTCATGCTAACGAGGGATCAGTGGTCTGGTGAGAGAGGCTTACGATCAGGTCGGCTGAAATTTCCTCCCCGGAATGTGTCACGATCGAGCGTGGCTTGACCTCAGCGATGGGGTCGTTCGTTAGGCGAATATTGTTTCCGTGTAGAGCTGCAGAATAGCTCCGGTCGAACAGCCGTCTCTGCATGAACAGAACAAATGGTTAGGTCACTTTCAGTTCAGCAAAGCCACAGCGCGCGCGCCCCGCCCATACCTTACAGCCGAACTCGTATTGCGGTATTAGCAAATCCCAGTATTTTTCTGCACGAGCCCGTTAGTCCCCTGTCGCTTGCAATTACCCCCAAATGGCGGAGATCCATACCCGGTGCAGCTTTGTGTACATACTCCCGACTCGCCTTCTCGGCGCTTGCTCGATTCACACGGCCCTCTTTGCTGCGCTGGAACTGCGAGAACCCGGTTTCCATGTACACAAACATCGCCCACCGGAGCAAACACAGCAGAAACGGGAGATAGCGGAAGACAGCTCGCCATGCTTCAGTGATGCCGTAGTTCATGCTCGGGACAATGTGGTGCGGTGTCTGCGCCACAGTCTTAGCGGATGGGGTTGTTTTTTCAACCCTACAAAGGGGAAAGTCAAAGGTGGAGCAGAGAGCAAACTCACTCTCATGAATTGGGTAACGTAGCTTGCCTGCTCACAAATCGCTGGCACTAGTTGAATAGCCGATGCTGCGGTCGTGGTCAGCATACCTCTCGCCATGGAAGGGCTTTTCCCGCTCCAGCCCTACCTCCATTGCCTATAACCGCCACCTTCTTGCCACGCAGGTCCACGTCCTCGCGCCACCTTGCGGTGTGGATGATCTGTCCCTCGAATCGCTCAATGCCCGGGGCCGTGAATGGGAGCGGATTGACGAGCGCCCCGACCGCTGAGATGAGGATCCGACACTCCTGCGTGAACTGCTGCCCGGTCGAGCGGTCCCGGAGGGTGACCACCCAGGTGCGGGTGATGTCCTGCCAAGCGGCACCGACCCATTCGGTGTTGCCGATGAAATGCGGCGTGACGTCGTAGCGGTCTGCGACGCTGGTCAGGTAGTCCAGGATCTCGGCCTGCGAGGGGAACCATTCGCTGAAGTCGGGGTTCGGGGCGAAAGAGAAGGTGTAGCAGAACCCTGGCACGTCCACGGCACAGCCCGGATCTGCAGTTCTCAGTAGGATGATCGGATACATCGGGGAAGGGGCAACGAACATCGGTTCACCCACCACGTTCCTCCTACGCCAGGATTTCGATCGTAGATACAGTAGTTGTCCAGGTTGTAGGTGCGTTTCAGTTGACAGGCGGTGACCAGGCCTGAGATTCCGGCCCCGATGATGATGACGGCGGTAGGGGGCTTGGATGGTAAAGACATGATATCCAGCTGTCTGGGGCTTCGGGGCTAACCGATGCTAGGTGGTCGGGAGATTGAGGGCAAATATTCCTTGTCCGTGCCTTTACTCCTCGACTCTATATATACCCCGGGTTGAGAGCTTGAAACGGGTCAAACTCTGAAGCCCCGAGCAACTATCCAGCTCTGCAGTATAGATCAGGCAGTTCGGCTATCTCCCAGTTGCCTACTGACGAGATGTTCTGGAACACCCCTCAGCAAAACGAAAAATACGTGTTCGTAATCTACTCCGACAGGTATGTGACGGACCTGCATGAAGCCGACACGTCAGTCGATCCCCACTTTCGCAGCTGTCGCTCAAACGCCCGATAGCGCGAACCCTTCCATAAGTGTCCGGCAGTTTGGTGCCCTCTCACCGTTTTGCTATGGACGAACCATTGGGTTGCAAGTGTATGTTATGGCTCCGCTCATAAAAAAGCTTCCGAATCAAGTCCGATTCTATGGTTTGGACAGAATCATGAGACTCAGTCCACCATTGACAACGCGCAGGAAATAAAAGTCAAAGAAGAAAAGGAAAGAAAGCCACAAATGGCTCAGCCAGCCACACAAACTGCAGGAGGCCGACGCTTCAAAGTGTTAGGCAACATCCGACACTGCCTTAATCCCAAGCGGGCTGGGCTGAACCCCGCGTGCCCTAATTCCCAAGCCACTCTACACGAAGAATCAAAAGCAGGATGGACTGTACAGCATTGCACACTGCAGAGAGAATTTTCCGACCGGCAACAACAGCCACATTGGACAATACACCATGTTCATCAAACGTCTCAATCCCTTGGACTTCACATTGTTGGCATCTGCAGGTAGCAGTCCAGTATCCGAGACATTATCTTCGATGCCTTTGGGCAAACAAAGTATCAAGAACGGTGGGGCCGGAGATCGCCGTGTAGATGGGGGACTGGGGGATCAGGATGAGGATTCAAAATTCTTCTGCCGTCCCCGGGAGAAACAAGGTAGGTTTGTATCCTATAACCAAATATGAGGCTTGGTACCATGGCTTTCGACCGCTGCGAGTATTTCACGCTCCGCAATGCTTGAATCGGCCCACCCTGAAGGACGGATTGCATAGCATGACAGGATGTCCGTATAGCAATGTCGACAAGCTTATGTTTATTCATCTACATACATTGGTCTGACATGTTTTTATCGTCTTTGAACATAATAGAGCTCATCATGAGGATATAGGTATATTTAAGGAAGGTAAGAGGGAGGGAGGGGTTGTGCGGAGATATGCTTAGGGAGAAGACAAATCAGATGGAGCTCATTATTGCATTACCTTATCCTTATTGAAACGGTGAGCCTGAGCTTATGAGAAAGATATCAAACTGATTAAGTCCACAAAGTGAAATTTGATAGGTGAGTTGTATCGAGTCAACCGACGAACAAAATATTGTCATCGGATAAAGACCATAATTGAAAAGATTCTTTCATGGGAATAGAGGGGATATCTCCGTCATCTGCTTTTATCGAACTTAGAGCTTATCTGATACTTACTGTATTCACTTACAGGTCACCTTTTCATCTGGTTTTCGGTAATGTGGAAGATTCACTTCTTCCATGCCCTAAACTCATTCGACCTTCTGCGATGGTCGTCTTTGATACCATAGGAGATTTCCGGCTCCCATCAAGAACCAATTTCCATGAAAGAACAAACACATCAAGAAGCCAATGATATAAATAGATTGGATGGTTCTTGCGTCTTCAGTCTAGGATAGTACCAGAGCCCATCCAACTTGCATGTATCAAACACGACCACTATGTCTAAAACCCCAGCTGGACATCGAATGCCCACCGAGTTGCTTCTCGAAGTCGCCAAGTGGATGGACGATCAAACGCTGAGCCGGCTTTCCCGCACCTGCAAAGGCTTCAGGGATGAATTCAGGGACCAGCTACGTGAAAGAGCCATCGCGTATGCCATGCCCACGCTCAACCCGGAATATTGGCAGGATGTGATTGTCGACGCCATCCGGAAATTGCACAACCCGGGCGACAATATCACGGCCGTCGCCCGCTCCGCCCTCTCCGGCATCATCAGCGACCAGCTCTCGTTGGACTTGGAGTATGAGCTCGAGGCCTTCGTGCCGCGCCAGCCCCTCTACGATGCCATCTGCCACAGCCAATACGACACCGTCGAGCGGCTGCTGCGCGTCGGCGGCGTGGACGTCGCTAATGGCCGGAGCTACCATAACGAGCCGATGCTGCACATCGCCGTGGAGTTCGGGCACGTAGAGGCCGTCCGCTTGCTCCTGGAGCACGGGGCAGACCCCAACGTCGAAGATGATGAGCAGGTCCGTGCCCTGGACAAAAAACCGCCGCGGCAGCCACGCGCGGCGATCTACCGCCTGCTCCTCGACTCTGGCGCCATTCCCAGCTCCCTGCACTTGTTTGGGACGGATGTCTTGGACCTCAAGGGCGGGGCGTGCCTCCTGCTCGACGCGTTCGAGAGCGCAGGCGGCACCGGCCTCGACGAGCCCGAATGGTGGGGGATTTTCTTCAGCGCTATAACCGGTGAGTACCGGAACTTTCTGGAGGAAATCTTTGATCATCGACCCGACCTCGTGCAGCTCTCACGCGAGGACCCCGTCGAGCAAAAGGTCACGCTGTTCGATACAGCGGTCAAGCTCGCCCGGTTTCAGATCGCCGCGCTTCTCGTGCGAAAGGGGGCCCCCCTGCAGGACGCACCCGCGGATTATTATTTCTACAACGACAAGATGAGACGCATCCAAGTTCCGTATAGGGAGGTGTGGAAGGTGTTGTTTACCCGGGCTCCGCAGGAGCTGCTGGACGCCCTGCTCGAGCGGCCGGAGCTGCGCGATTACGAATTCAAGGACGCCATTCGCGAGAGAGCCAGTGTGATGCGTAAATTATTAGGTTGAATGGGTTTGGCCCGCCTGCTGACACCACGCGGATGTAGACGGGGATTTAGGTGTTGAATGTGAAATGTGCAAAGCTATTTTGATGTCCGAGTGTTGAAAATTCCAACAAGGTGTCGATGTGCTAACGAAACGAATAAGCCTGACCAAAAGATACATAACCGTGTTCAGTTGCGACTGACTGCCGTGGAGTCTGGGTCCGAGACAGATTACAGGAAAAATTGAACCAACTTTCCACAAAACCTGTCACCCTTTGATGTGGCTTGTTGACACCGCAGTTAATCCTAACTCTATAGGTCCACCAGCCTCCCAGTTCCCAAATCATGCTAGCCATCTTTACCCTGCAATGTTATCATTTAAGAAAGAGTATCCCACGAATGAAGCAAGCTGCAGTCGACCGTCCCAGGACTGCTGCACGTTATGTCTCATCATCATTCATCGAACTTAGTGGGTAGCCTCGACTTCCACTGGCTTTTGGCCCGAGTGAGAAGCTTCTCATCGGACAACATATCCCAGCCCAGGAGAGCCAACCCTTTGGCAACCGCTATGGCTTCTTCATGTGCTTCATCCGTACCAGCGCACGCGGTGAAAGAAGGATGGTGGGGAAAGCACCCATCAGGAGCTGGAATAGCAAACATCGAATGCAGTGTAGGAGCAACATAGCTCACGTTTCCTGTGCCTTGTCAGTCTCTTCCTTCATACTGTCCATTTGAAAACCTACCAACATCAGACGACCCGGTCAGGACCTTCTCGTACTTTTCGATGATCGATCTCCCACACGCTGCCATATGCTTCGTGTATCGCTGGCATAAGACATCATTGAGTACGATATCGGTATACAGGCCTTCCCTGTTGCCATATATCCGTTAGCAACACATAGAAGGATTTGGGTCAATCCAACCTACTCCACAATCTTCACAGTACAACCGGTGACGACAGCAGCCCCTTCAATACACAAGCGGACTCGCGCAATCAGCTTATTGAGCTGGTCCAGAGTGGGGCTGCGAATTTGCCAGTAGGACTTGGTGTACGCAGGAATCACATTGGCGACCTTGGGGACATCCAAGAAGGCGCCATGAATCCGCTCATCGGGGAGGATCTGCTGCCTTAGAGTCGAGATCCCGTTGTAGGCCATGATCAAGGCATCCAACGCGTTGACGCCCTCCCATGGATTGCCTCCAGCATGGGCATTTTTCCCAAAGTATTCCACGAAGAGCTCCTTGCGCGCATTCATGAGTATACCCGCCACACCGTCGCTCGGCGTTCCCACGATATCCTTCGGGCCAGGATGTCCAGGGGTAAGTCAGCCATAATCGTGAACCCACGACACAAAAAGTGTGTCAATGACGGGAATGGAAGTTCTCACGCCATTAATGAGGCATCGACTCCCTGGTAGGCGCCTGCATCGATCAATCTCGCCTTCCCTCCCCCGTTCTCCTCAGCAGGCGTGCCGAGGAGCTGGATGCGGCCGCCAATTCCATATTGTCTCTGCAGATGGCTCAACGCCAGAAAGGCCGCGATGCTGCTCGTCGCGATGAGGTTGTGTCCACACGCGTGCCCGATCCCAGGGAGCGCATCGTATTCCGCGTTGAGGTTGACCAGGCGACCCTCGGTGCCGCTGATACATTCGAAGGAGGTATCTACCCCGTACGCATGCCGCGTCACTGTGAAGCCTTGCTTCTCGAGAAAATTGCAGATCGCATCGTGGGCTTGGTGTTCTTCGTAGGCAAGCTCGGGGTTTGACCATATCTGAAAGCAAGTTTGGTCAGTGATTGCCAGCGCCTAAATGAGGACTGTTGAACTCCGCAGACTGAGCTGACCAGGTGATTGAGCTGACGCAGTTGCGATGCAACTTTCTCGAGAGCACTGTCGATTGCTGTGCGCACTTCCTCGGGCGGGACTGCAGTCAGCGGGGCCGCAGTCATATTGGGCGAGTTGCTTGATTGAAATGAAGAAGTATGAAGGCCTGGCATTGGAACTTTAGGAAAGTGTGCGATGAATGGATATTTAACTATGAAGCCCTGACAAGGCGTGTTGCTTTATCTCCTTCTACAATTCCTCGCAAACGGTATAGACACATCAGCAGCCGGGAAGAACGGCACTATCGTAATTCAGTATGAGTAGTTCGGCTCTTAGAAGTCAAGGAGGTGATGCATAGTGCGGTGCATAAACACAAGTTGCTGCATAAGAGATGCTACCAGCATGCAGGGCTTATCTGTCCAAACGAGAGGATAGGACCTGGCAGGCACAGCCACCAGATAACAACCGACACGCGGGCACCAATCAGTCCCAGAACATTTTGCCGAGCATCGGTGGCTTGGCTTCATCTTCGCTAGTCACCTTTTACGGGTTTGCCGACCTGCTGTTATACTTCTCTATACCTGGTCTCTGATTAAATCGATAAGCGATGAGACCTTTCCGCGGGAAATTCACGTCGCCTCCCTGATAAGACCTGGAAAAGGGGCTTGAACTATCATGTTTGCCTATCAACCAACGCCATCGTGTTGGCGGCTTGCATAGTCGTTGACAGAGCGGTCATTGAATACTACTGGAGGATGGGAAATGATAAGCTTGGATTTATATAGTGCAAACATGTAGGATCCCTCTCAAGAAACCATACTTCTGATACCCACATAGGTTGGAAAAGGTGCCTTTCACTTCCTGTGCTATGGAGAAGTCTCCAGAATCCCCATTTGATGAGAAGCTGCCATGCGCTATCACGGAGACAACGCAGGAAACTAGTGTCGGCGAGCTTGCCGAAGTTCTTGCGCCATCACCTGAAGCGGAGCGCCGGCTTCTATGGAAATTGGATTTCTTGTAGGTGCTCAAAAACGCAGCCGAATCGAAGTCACTCGCTCACCAGATTGCTAGCTTGATTCCGACCATGGGAATATGCTACATGCTTCAGTACATGGACAAACTGGCTCTGAGTCAAGCGACACTCTTGAACCTACGACAAGATCTGGTCAGTATCCTTGAACTTTCCCCTGCCACAAAACGACGTGGTTAACTAGTATGGCCGTTGCAGGGTCTTCATGGCTCGCAGTATACATGGTGCTCGGCCATCTTTTACTTCGGATATCTGGCCTGGAGCTGGCCGACGTCTTACCTGATTGTCCGTTTGCCTCTGGGCAAGTATCTGGCAATCTCCGTGTAGGTCTCCATGCATGCTTGCAAGTCCCGTTTGAAACATGGTTAATTATACTGTCACAGATTTCTATGGGGTGGTATTCTGATGTGCCACGCAGCCTGCCAGAGCTTCCAAGGCTTGATCACAGCTCGATTCTTCCTGGGGGTGGGCGAGGCGGCGGTGGCTCCGGGGTTTGGCCTGATAGTCGGGATGTTTTATAAACGGGATGAACAGCCCGCGCGCCAGGCGGCCTGGTTCGTCGGTAATTGTGTTGCGAATTTGATCGGAGGTGTGACTGCCTGGGGAATCGGCAATGCCGCGTCCAGCATTCAGAGCTGGCGTCTGCTGTTCCTGGTTCTGGGTGGCATTACTTCGGGCTATGCCATCTTTCTTCTTCTGGTTCTGCCCGACTCCCCCTCCACGGCGTTCTTTCTCAGCTCAAATGAACGCAGGACTGCCACGCAACGAATGCTGAGCAATGAAACAGTGGATGTGGAAGAAGCCCCAGGGGGCGCAAAGTTCCATTGGAACCAGGTTTGGGAATCGGTGCAGGACCCCCAGGCGTGGTGTTTGGTTCTGTACACATTCTGTGTCAATCTTGCCAACGGCGGTCTTACCAGCGTAAGGTCATCTCATTAATTCCAGCTGGCGTCAAGTGCTAACTGTCAGATATAGTTCTCCGCCATCATTGTAGCAGGCTTCGGCTATTCCAGCTTCAAGTCTCTCCTGCTCCAGATGCCAGTGGGTGCCGCGCAGCTTGTGTTCCTCATCATCACCGCCGCCATTGCCACGTTCATTCCATCCTCTCGGATTCTATCCATGATTCTGAACGTTGTGGTCGCCATTTCCGGCGTGGCGCTCATCTATACCTTGAATGACAGCCACAAGGTCGTCAAGCTAGTCGGACTGTCCTTCGTCGGAGCCTTCGCCGTCAACATCCCTCTTGCGCTGAGCATCATCAGCTCCAACGTGGTCGGACGCACGAAGCGAAGTACCGTCAGCAGTGCCGTGTTCGCTGCCTATTGTGTTGGCAATATCGTCGGTCCGCAGTTCTTCCTGGCGTCAGAAGAGCCGGTCTACGCGGTATGTTATGGAGAGCGGAGTACATTCTTGATAACATGTTCCTCATTGGCTAACTTCCTTCGAAAACAGACCGGCATTCGCGCCTCTCTTTGTGGTCTGGCTTTAGGTGTTCTCTTTCTTGGGCTTTTATCCGCGTACTATGTCTGGGAGAACAGACGACGAGATGCTTTGTACGGCCATGTCAATAACCTGCATCACTTTCCGTCTAGTACGGCTCAGGCACCAACCAGCCATACAGACAGACAGAATACGAGTTTTCGCTATGTTCGATGAGATGAACCCCATGTCAACCCTGCTTTGTGGGATGCACTGTGCTGCTGGTGGCGTGTTTAGAAGATCGAACAGTGTTTTTCTGAGATTAGCTTGGATGGTGCTTACTATTTGAACTCGTTCCACTCGCAGTGAAAAACCAGGGTGTATGGTGCTAATATTTAACTGTATGCATATACCGTTACGCAAGACAGCTATGTTTTGAACTGAATTGCCTGCTCTGTTGCCTTGAAATGAATTAAGTTCCTTTCCTACGTTGTTCTCAGAAGTCTCTATTTTCTGCGGATACTATTCAAAGCAGCAATTAGTAGATGCTGCAAGGTGCACCCCGTGGGATTTTGAGACTCTGAGCCATGGTTGAGGTGCTCTTTTTGCACAACCAGCTACGTGCAGACAATCTTGATGTTTCAAAGAATTCCTGTCGACAAATTGAGAGTATGCGCTCCACTTGAGGCTTCTTGTGGAGTGCACGGGCCAATTGAGGCCCATATGACTTTTTTGTTTGTGATGATAAGTTGCCGAACATCAAAGGGAAGAAGACAAAGTAATTAAGAACAAAGCCATTGTTTGTTGTGACTGTCCGCTCTACTCTGTTATCCTTCCCTTCCTTCAGCAGCACTTTATTCCAACACAAAGACTTGGTATTGGCAGCAGACCCATAGAGCGCCGGCTTTTGTGTTCTTCCCTGCAGGGACCAAAAGACATATACATCGATCCACGACCGACAACAATGCGTAAAGAGAAAGAGACGTGTCTCCACTCCCGTGTCTCTCTATGAGAAGGTTTAAATAGGGTCTAGAAACCCCTCTTGTATTTTCCATTCTATGCTTGTTCTTTTCCGACTGATCTTCCGAAGACCAATTCCATACGATCAATTTCGAAGTCTTTACCATCAAGATTCATCCTACGCGTCAACCTTCCAACAGAATCACCCAACATGTCTCAGACACTCCGACCCCTCGACGAAATCATCGACGTCCCCGATTACAAGATAGAATATTGCTCCGGTGCTTGGCCTGAGTCCCCCGCCCCTTTCTATCATCCTATTCTTACCCACCCTAAACACGACTGACAAGATATCCACGCAGACATCGATTCCGCCGAACAACACGCCTTCAAATACAACAACTGCTCGTTTCTACGAAGACAAGACCTGATTCGTGGGTTCTCGAAGAGTGTCCGGCGCAATGCTTGTCAGAACTGCTGGGAGAGTGAGATTCAGCACCAGGGGCGGCGCGTTGCTCTCTACAGGGCTGCTGTTAGCGAGGCCAGAGCGTATGTCAGACGTCATGCTCGCTCGTCGTGAGAAGATGGGAAGGGGATGCCGAAGATCGTCCTCATTGGTGCTTAATTCGTGGAGTATCGGCGCAGGCTCACTTGGACGTGTGAGACGCATCCCTAGTGGTCTTCGTCCAGATGATGCTGAGTTCACCCTCATCAAAAAGCCTCCCATATTAGCAAGCAAGAAATGAGTGATCGTCCACTCTACCCCATCCTCCTGTGCGCGTGCTTGCAACCCGTGGAGGTTACGCTTTGCTTCCCAAAGATCATACCCATGTTTTGCGAGAAGCACCTCGGGCGCGATAACTGTAATCACGAACCACACGAGGTGATGTGTGTACTGGTGACTCCAGTACTGGATCTTGCCGTTGATTCTCTCGCGGCCTGGGAATGTCCGGGTGCTGAACCGTCCAGGTGCAGAGGATAATCCTGAGAAGATTGACCCAGAGAATAGTGAGGGTACCGCGCGTATTCGGGGCGGAAACATAATTCACTGTCTCCGCGGGGAAGGGTGCAGTTTGTATCGAACCTGGTAAGCGCATGAGCGTAGCTGCAAAAGAGACCAAGAATAAAAAAAAGCATTGTGTCTGTCGTGGACGCGAGACTTCACGAGGGGTACGGGATGCAAAACTTGGATAAGGTTTGATGAACCTAGCCTGGGGATAAGAAAGAGAAATCTCGCCTAGATATCTAATAGCCAAGGCTACGCCAAGCATTACCAAAGACCTGAATAAGGCTGCTAAATGACTCAATCAGTCCCAGCATCATCGGGAAAGCGCATATATGATAAAAGTTTGTACAGCTGGCTGCTCGTGTTGTCTCAAACGAGAGTACTAACATAGTAGACACCCGAGACTCCTGACGATAAATCAATAGCTGTTGCGCGAGGTCCGCAGTTTGGCATCTCTGCAGCTGGACTGACTTAAGTGTCGATCATCTATAGCCTGAGTCTAATTATCCTGTCGACTGGCCAATCCTGGCACATATATCATCGTTCACCCCTCTGACAGGACCGAATCAAACTATGAGAGCCAGCGATTGGTTGGGCAAGAGTGAATCTAGAGCCTCAACGCCAAGGAAGAATATCTGTCAAACTCTAAATACTCCGGCCATCGTGGTATGGCAATAGGTGACTCCCTCCCCCCCCTCCCCTTTCCTTTCTTTTCCTGGGATGTCGACAAATGCACGTTGAAGAACACTCTGGAATAACCTTGTCCCCTCACCCCGCCCAACATGATTGTTATAAGCAAGAAGACCTCTCCACTGTATGAGATGCCGGATGCTATATGTCTATCAGCCTCTGGAACTACCACGCATGAAAGTAATAATCCTGATGTCGTCGTTCCAGCTATGTTGAGCCAGGACAAGGCATGGCGATTTTGAGTTTGTGAGATTTAGTCGTGGAGGTCAAGTTGATATATTTGTTGTGGTCTGAGATTGTAGGTGTTCAAATGTGCGAGACGATGGTCAGTCTTCAGACGCATCCTGTATCCGTGTCTTAGAAATGGAAAAAAAAAAGAAAAACAAGAAAAAGAAAATAAGTCGGTATGTGGAGTGTATATTGAGGGTAACAAAACGCACAGTATAATGCGGGCTAAGGTGTCGGATAAACAATAAATCCAAAACATAAATCTTTATTTGCCTGTATCTCTTCATCTGAGCTATCACTGCACACTTTGATGGGTTTCTATGTCTCACTTTCGCACACAGATCCACTGGCAATATTTTTGCATTGGCGTATTTGCACGCCCAGGGTATCTGAAGATAGCTAAAATTAGTCATCGAAGCAACCATAATCAAATCAGTGCTATCATGATGAGTTTGTAAGGAAAGAAACGGTAATATTGAAAATAAAATCGAGACTAAGTTGAACTAGCAACAGGGATCTTCTTACAGCCACCATGTCAGTCTGCCTTATCGCCTGAAGAAACACTTTTGGGAATTTAGATTTAGGTGGGCGAAATCCATCACATCTTACCATGGGAATCTTCACCAGACAGACAACCCGACCCGTGCCCGGCCATGAAAGCATGTCACTCATCCCAATTGTTGATCCTTTACCGTTGTTATGAGCATACCAATGCCGGCGCTGAAAGGAGGGCGTATGCAGATATAAAACAGCGACTTTGTCACGGAACCATTGTCTTTGTGTGGTCATACGCCAAAGAAGCATTCGCTGCCCGACAAAGGCGACAGCTCCCTTTTTCGTTGCATTTGAACGAACCATACCCCTATAAAAGGGGCGTGTCCAGCGCTCAACATCGAGCCCCATCTCGACCATCCCAATCACCTCACCCTACATCTCTTCCCCAGATAACATCTCCCGCCCCTTGACCTGAAGTATCTGGCTCTAACTCACAGGCCCATCGCCCTAGGACCCAAAATGTTCCGCCCCGACTTCTACTCCTCGCGTCAAGAAGCCGCCGTCCGACAGTTCGCGCATACCCTCGCCTCGACCGCCACGGGCCGTTTCTTTGTCCACATGTGCCACGAGCTCGACGCCGGGAAGTCCCTGGACTGGGAGAAAGCCGTGGGGGAGCTCGGGGCGACGTTCCGGGGGATGCGGGCGCGGGCCGTGAGGCCCCTCGTGCCGCGGTACGCCGGGCTGGTCTACGACGGCTACGACGGAGCGGTCCGGCTCTTCACCGAGCCGGCCACAGACGACGAGGACCCGGTCCCCTTCACCCGCGACGGACGAGTCGAGTTCCGCGTTCAGGATAAGAGCGATCGCGCGACCATTCTGGAGTGGGCGGCGAACTTGCCGGCGTGTGTGAGTCCTGCTGCTGCTGCTGCTGCTGCTGCTGCTGCTGCTGCTTCTGAGGCGGGGCTAGAGACGAAGCTCGTGCTGGATACGGGGACGGCGCCGACAGTGAGGCATTTTGGGAGTCGCTGGGTCACCTGGTTTCACTATGCTGAAAGGGTTCCTGTCACTGATGGGGAGGTTGAGGAGGAACCCTGAGGCGAGGTCGTCGAGCTCGTAGGGATTTGGGTTTGTCTGGTTTGCAACTTGGAAAGTGTCCGTGCTAATAGCAGGTAGGTTACCTAGTAGGTAGGGTTTGCAACTCTGTGAGGGGCTGAGTAATGGCGACGAGCGATGATTGAGCTTTTTGTGCAAAGTCTGGTAGTTCAATTACCTAGCGACTAGGTAGTTAGGTACTACTAGGTAAACAATACGATCGGTCCTTCCAAGGAGTAGTCACATGACTTGCGCTTCCCCGGATGGCGGAGGAGGGTCTGGGGGCCTGGGCGATCCAAGGCCCCCCCGCCCCCGCAGCGGCAGATCCAGGCCGTACATCCAGATCAATACACGTGTGTTTGTATATAATGGAAAAGGAATAATGTCAACAAAGGTGCTTTTAAAGATGCTTCAACCGTCGTATAACCAGTCCCTTACAGAGTTGCGTAAATACACCCTTAAGGAGCTGTGTTGTGTTGTCGAAATTTATTTCTATATTTTTGCAGCTCATCATATTAGACCTACAACCTCAGTCTAGATCGAAATAGGTAGAAAAGCTTACAGGTCGGAGAGCCGACGGGAACTTTTATAGTTCGTGTACTGAATACAGATCATTTCTTCCTTCACTACATGTTCTTTCATTGAGGGAATAAGTGAGATTTGTAAAATTCATATCATCATTGGAATTGAATCAAACCCAGCCGTGGCCGATGGGGGCTGGAGGCTGAGGGCTGGAGCCCCAAAACTAGAGCACGCTCCGGTTCTCCATCAACTTCCAGAACTGAAGCCCCTCAACGCGGAGAACCTCGAACTCACCCTCCACCAAGGTCTCAGGGGTCCAACGCAGCTCGTCGGGCTCCAGCCAATCGTCCATGAGGTCCAGACGGTCGTTCAGCAGGGTCAGGATGTCAACTGGGCTTTCGCTTAGGTAACCTGCCGATAGGATGACTCGCACAAGGACATGGTCCGGGGACGGTGCTTTGGACTCAATGCCCCAGATATAGTCTCTAGTCATGCCATTCACGGCATCCTGAAGCGCAGAGTGAATCTCCGGCCCCCAGCATGTGGTCTTCTTGGGGACCCACAGGTCAACGAAGAAGTGATCCTGAAGGAGGTCCCTCCAGGCCTTGGGCGCATCGGTCATTGTTGTGCTATGATTTTCAGGAGACATTGCTTTACTTGGGCAGTTTTGATAGATATGTTGATGGGGTTTTGTGATGGGGGTAACGGTTTACTTGAAGGGGATGGGATGGTAGCTTTAGGGTTAAATATACTGCGAGATAAAGCGGCAATTGATTCCAAAGCAAGTGCCATGTTGTGAAAGTCTTCAGAAAGATGCTTTGTTGCCGGGCAAGTTAAAAGCAACCAAGAACAAGAGGACCGGAGGGTTATGAGATGTTTCCCTTCCCCGCCAGTCAATGGTCTCTCCTCAGTCGGAGGGTTCCATCTCGCGCCTATCGATGCTGGATGGCTTCACAGATGCCGGGTTCGTTCTACTCGTGGGGCAAAGAGATTGTGGAGCCTTTCAAGTAAACCGTCGATTAGAAAGGGTGCTCTCTGGGCCATGTGTGTAGTAGGTCTGCTCCATCGCGGAGATCTCCATCAGATTAAAGCCACACATTACGTTCTGATCACCCATCAGAATTGACACGATAATGTGATAGGGGATTTGGGGTTGAGTATACCTTATATGCTGATACCGCCGGTGCTCTGGGACTGCAGGGGGGGGCGCATCCCGATATTTGAGGCCTGGTCCGTGAGGCATCAAGCACGGGCCGCGTTTCTCCGAGAGCTGAGCTATCACGTGACCCTCGTTACTCGCGGGCGGGAATCTCTTATCGTTCGTTGCTTGTTCAATCCCGTCGCCCGTCGCCGCAACAATCAACCTCAACCTCCATCCTTTCGAATCCTTCATCATGGCAGACACTACGACGGAGACCACGCCTCCCAGCGTGGCAGAGACCACGCCAACAGAGCCTACTCCCCAGCCCGACGCGGTCGTCAAGAAGCGCATCATTCGCAAGAAGCGACGCCCCGCGCGCGTCCAGGTCGAAGCCGACAAGGCCAAGGAGATCCAGGCCCAGTTCCAGCCCCAATCCGGCACAACTTACAACATCTACTACAACAAATGGGCCGGCGGCGATCGGGAGGACTCCTCGCAACAGGCGGCCAAGACACGGTGCAATCTTGCCCGCGACTCCGGCTACACCAAGGCCGACGCGCAGCCCGGCGCACACATTTGTCTCCACTTTGTAAGTTTCCACAATTCTCGTTGCGTCGGCGAAGAGACAGGTGCTAATCTTGGTGCGTTTGTTGCTCCTAGGCCCGAGGCCTTTGCCACCGTGGTCAGGACTGCGAATACCTTCACCGCCGACCGACGATTCATGACATCACCCCCCCTCAGATGGACGTTTTCGGTCGCGAGAAGTTCAACGATTATCGGGATGACATGGGCGGTGTTGGTAGCTTCTTGCGGCAGAATCGGACGATCTATGTTGGTAAAATCCATGTCAGGTACGGTCTTCATCTCATTCCCCCGGTCGCCTTCGCGCGCAGATGACTAACGTGCTTCCAGTGACGACATCGAGTAAGCAACCCTCCATGCCCTTTACACACCGGACAATCATCGGGAAATGACGAAATAATTTCTGCTTCGCTGCGATGGGCTGGGATACACTTGTAGGCGGAGGCTGACCAGATGTCCGACAGGGAGGTTGTTTCGCGTCACTTCGCCGAATGGGGCGAGATTGATCGGATCAGAGTCTTGACTAGTCGTGGTGTTGCATTTGTACGTGCTGATCCGCCTCGGACCCTGCGTCGAGCTAACAGTCCTAGGTAACCTACAAAACCGAAGCGATGGCACAATTTGCCAAGGAGGCCATGGCCCACCAGAGTCTCGACCACAACGAAATTCTGAACGTCCGCTGGGCCACGCAGGATCCCAATCCACTGGCTCAGAAGCGGGAAGCCCGCCGCATCGAAGAGCAAGCCGCGGAGGCTATTCGGCGCGCCCTGCCGGCGGAATTCATCGCCCAGATCGAAGGCAAGGATGCCCATGCGAAGAGACAAAAAACCAGCTACGACCTCGAGGGCTATGATGAGCCGGACCAGGTGCGCTTTGCCGTGGGTTTGCGGGGAACTGGAGACGATCAGCACGAACAGCTTGCACTGCCGGAACCGCAGGACCAGCACCAGCCGGAGGAAATTCCGCCGGCGCAAGTCGCGCAGGGCGGCATCTTCTCCAGCAGTACTCTGGCCGCATTAGGGGCTGCTCGCGCGTCGGTTTCGGCAAAGTCTCAGCAGGTCGCCTCATTACAGTCGCTGGTCGCCTACGACAGTGATGACGAGTGAGGCAGATAGGATAGATGAATGGGCCTTGAATGATGACGGTTGATGGGGACGTGGTCCCTATGGCAGCATCCGAGCTCATTGCCGATCTGTCCGGTGTCCTTCAAACCCCCCAGCATCAAGTGCGGCCAATGTCCCTGGGTATGGTGGCCATGGCTTCCCACCTTCACACGTCTCCAGATACGCCGCGGCACCTGCTGCCGGCGACCTCGGCCAATCGCAGGGCGCAGGCGCCCACCACAGACCAGGTGCCATAACTCTGGTCAGGCGAGCAACCTTGTCCGTTGGAGCGGAGTTGAAAGCCGGATATGCAACAGGCACAACGGGATACGCATACCAGGGGTTGCAATGCGCGGCCAAGGCTCAAGTTCATCGCGGGACCGGCAGTCCAGTCTGTATCTGCTCTGTGCGCCGTGTAATATTATGGTAGATTAGCAAAGTAGCCATTACAACCACTAGCTTCGACTTGGTTCTATCCAGAGTCATGTCTCGTATGCTGTCCCTTCATGATAACGCCTCTCTCCTCAAGAAGCGCGCTTATCTTCGAGGCTTGTCGCAGGTAGTTCAATACAAACTCGTGGATGCGGAATGGTACACGAGGCACCTTGTAGGGCAGGAAAGAAAGTGGTTTAGTGAACCAGATTTCCAGTGTGACTTTCCCACGCATCTGAGACCCCATCGGAGTCGGATAGTGTGCTATGAATACCTAGTAACAATTGGAACATGAGGCTGCGATCTGCATGTAGTGTGTAACAGATGACGACAGGACCACAGAAAGAAAGGTCCAGCTATGACTAGACGAAAGTCGGCACAATCACAAGCTGGGATGCAAGTGCATTATCCTCGACGTTTTTGTCTCAGTATATCTTATATGTACCTGGAACCAGCAGTGACAATGCCACCATGAAGGCACAATTCCCGAGCAGTAGCTGAGCTGTGGCAAGCACCGACAATTCTTTGTTGTCCTTTCCAACTTAGGGAACTACTGAATGGCATCGTTACAGCGATATCAACGCTCCTAGTCTTCTGGTAATCAGGCAAGAGCTCAGCTGCAACTCAAGGTGAGGTCGTCACATCTACATACATGGCGAGCCCACCTATACTCCCATATCAACCACTAGCGGCAGTCTACCCTGCATCACCACATGCAAAGCTGAGTCAAATGAATGGCCACTATTACCCGGGGGGTTGGTCATACCCTGCATTGATCGACTATAAAGAGTCCCTGGGAAAGAAGCGCAAATAGTTCGTCTTTCCTACCGCGGGAAAAAAACCATGCTGAATCACACAATGCTCGATTCAGGCTTCACAGATTGTATGAACGAGCTGGAGGTCGTCATAAGGAGGTGGTACCATATCTCTCGTACTTGCATCTTCATTCCTGGCGATGCTACGTGCTCTACGCTAGGATCTGCGTCGAGACACCATTGGAAGTTCTGTCACTATCGGAACTGAATCATAACTGAGGAGACAAAAGACATCTGAAAATGAGCCCTCCACAGTCGACTGGCTACGCGGAACTCTCCTCCTCAGTCCACGGATAATCGTCTGAAGAATGATAGTAAACACTAAGGTAAACCCCCGTCTTCTCCGTGTACGCAAACGAGATCCAAGACGTCAACCGCGCCGTCTTCTCCAGATCCCTGTCCGGGCTGCCTGATGTCAGTAATCGTCTTAGACAACTTTCCTATGCGCCGAACTCACAAGTAATCCCGCACAGTCTCTTCGTAGCCTTCCCCATATTCAACCAACCCAATATCACTGAGATACTGCGCAACCCCACGCACAATCTTCGCATCATTCTCCCCGTGAATGGGGAAATAGAATTTCGTTACCGGGATCTCCTCGCCGGCCTTCATCTCGTAGTTCCACACCATAGGCGTGGGCGTGGAGTCCTTGCCGTCATCGAACCCGCCCGTGAAGGCGCGGTGGCCCTCCTCCACCTTGGTCAGCTGCCACAGCTGGGACAGATACTTGAGCCCCTCCTTCACGGTGGACGTGTCTGCGCGGCCGCCCAGGGTCCAGATCTCCTCGATCTTCGACCAGACGACCTCGTTGCTCGAGCTGTACAGCTTCAGCCGCGACTTGGCCGGGTCGACGCAGTCGAAGGACCAGAAGGCCACCTGGCTGTAGCCGTTGGTTTCTTCGAGGTATTCGTTCACCTTGTCGAAGGAGGGGAAGTGCCCGATGCGATCGGCAATCGGCTGAATTGACTCTGCGAACAGCTTGCCAAACGACCGCCCACTGGCGTGGCACTTGAACCCCGGGAAGGTGTACCCCTTCACCGAAACGGCCTGGGGTCGGAGATCAAACCCGAATGCGCTCTGCGAGGTGAGATTGCTTCCTTCCATCTTGTTCCTGGTGAGTGAATCCTTGTCCGTGGCGGAGAGGGTATGGTGCTCGAGGAAGTGGTGGAACAGCGAGGCGTCGAAGCCCGGGATCTGGACTTCCTCGAGCCGCTTGAGCAGATCCAGCACCGGTAACTGGTTGTACAAGTCCTTCTCCGTCCCCGATTCCGCGGAGACGGGCTCGTATCCGATGCGGACGACGGGCTCCGCGCCGCCCTTTTGCTGGTAGTTGACGCTGAACTCGAGCGGGAGGCCGCTTCGTGTGATGGCGCTGCGGAAGGCGAATGGATAAGGGCCTAGGTGAGGGATGAGGACCTGAGTGTAGAAGGTGAGGGCTTCGAACTGGCGAGAGGTGTTGTAGTTCGCTGAGATGAGGACTTTGTTGAGCAGCTGCCCGGTCTTCTCCCACCAGGCCTTCTGGTGGGCGTCCGGGAAGACGGTGTACTTGCTGAGGATTTCATATGGGGTGGGTGTAGAGGTTAGGGTTGTCTGTTTGCACAGGCTCGCGGGTTGGCTGGGGACCGTCATTGTGATGGTTTTGGCAGTACAGAGGAACAGTGACAGTAAGGTTGCTTGCTCTCAAGCCTACACCAAGCCGATAAATAACATTTATATCCGGTTCCCGCCAAATAGGCTGCACAGGCTACGCACACCGACATTTGCGAGGAGCATCCTCACTTGCGTTCGCCCTAGCGTTGCCAACAACACTCCTGTCGCTGCTGTACTTAGTCCGTGCATGTCACCCAGTCCACCTGTCTCACGTAAGGAGCGCTGCCAGACTGACCATTGCGTGAATACCGGTCTCATGTTGACCACAGCAATGCGTAATGGTGCAGGAATTTAAAGGACACAGGTTCGAAGTGAATTGATTCCAGCTCGCACGGGTGGAGTATATGCTTTCTTATCTAGACAGCTATGTATTGATAGAATCTCAATCGGAGGCAATTGAAGAATCTACTACAGCAATGCGACCAGTTCGCTGTAACGAGTCCACAACCTCCGCAGGTCCTTTTCCCAGGCAGTAGACGTCTGCTTGCGACACATAGCCTCGTCATCCCATCCTTCACTCCCTACTCCTAGCCGGGTAATAAAAAGATCATTTGGATCCCAGCGACGCTTGGTTGCAAGGAGCACATCATACTTCTCGCCCCAGAATACGCCTGCATGGTCAGCCTCATGTGGGAAGGGAACACCCAGATACCCAGCAATGGTAGCGCTCTCCAGTGAATCGATTGCAGGGAGCTGAGTATGCTTCAGCTCTTCCTCGGCTTGCTCGTAGGCCTCCCAATTTGGATCCAGCGGGAGACCCCGGCCCAGGGTGAGGATCATCGCGGCCGAGTCCCACGCTGGATGGAGGGAGTGGGGTACATGGCTCTTTCGCTCCACGCTGAGCCCAGGCGCCATTCCGTCTAGACTTATCATATCACCGGGGTGGTACTTCAACTGGGAAAGCGCACGGGACAGACGCTCAGGGGCATTTAGCGAGCTTCCCGATACGAGGCGCGAACCCACCATGACGCCCACCCCAGCCATGCCCTCGGTGCTGCGACTGGCGTGGTATGAGGAAATCTGCGCAAAGTGCTCGTGGGAGCGCTGGACCTGGAGCCCAGCATTCTTCCAGCTCTCGAAGAGGCGATCGACAGGTGACATATTGCTTGTCTCGGTTTGATTGATGGAAAAGATCTCCGCTGAGATGAGAGACCCCGATTCAGCAAACGGAAAGGCATAGCTCTGAACTGCAATGCCTTGGTCTCCCAATTGCGGTATTGTGCCCATGATCTCCTGGACACCTGACCAAAATGCATCTCCTGGGCCTGCCTCGGCCACGGCAGTCAATCTGGCCACCTCCAGCGGCACATCAGGAAATACTCGGAACGTCACACTGGTGATGATTCCGAATGTACCTCCGCCGCCGCCTCGAACGGCTTGGAAGAGGTCTTGGTTCTGATACGCATTTGCAATCACGTACGCGCCCTGTTGAAGTCTTGTCAGCAAACCACCGAGGCCTTGCAAGAGGGAGATAGAACAGGGGGCTTACAGCTGCCGTGACCATTCCAACCTCCAGAACGTTATCAACGCCCAGTCCCTTGGACGGTGTGAGTATTCCATAACCACCACTTGCCATCCAACCGCCAGCGATGCCAACAGTTCCGCAACTCCCACCAGCAACGCTATACCCATGTTCTGCGGCTGATGCGTACAGATCCTCTGTCATGACGCCCGCCCCAACCGTCACTGCAGGGCCATAGTCTTCAGACTCGTACCCCAGCGGCGAAGTCGTACGGAAAGACGTGGTGAATCGAATCTCCTTGAGTCCAGCTGTATGGACCATTAACGATTCCGGGGAAGTCGAGCGGCCAGCGAGATCATGCCCGGTGTTTCTCACCGAGAGGCGAAGATTGTGGTCAGCAGCAAAGCAAACGACACCTCGCACCTGCTCCACAGTCTTCACGGAAGCCGCGTATACTGGCACCCTGCCCTGCTGGCACGTCGCATTTGTGATACCGTCAACGTGACAGCTTTCCTCTGCTGCTCGCCAATTCTCCCAATTGATCACTTGGAGCGACGCTGTTTGTGGGTACCGAAATCAGCGACTGCATCCCGCTTGAGCGTGCGGCACAATAGCTACCTACCTGGATTCAAAACGCGCCAGGTGCCATTGTGGAAGTTCTTCACGTACTCCTCGCACGCTTCCTTTGAGTATTGGTCGCCAGAACATACATGGCCGGCCGGCTTCAGCGTTTGTAGATTCCCATCGATGCTGTGATTGAGGTGTTCCCAGTCACTGGCCGTGGGCCAGCATACCTCGCCCGGTCGGCATCGACACAGTGACTGCGTTTGCGTGCCCCAGTAGCCTTTGAGGCCGGCTGATACGGCCAGTATGAGAAGAGCAAAACGAATCATCTTGGTCCATGCAGGTTGCCTCTTGTCTAGACACGCAGCGTCCGAGAATTTGAGATGCTAGCGAGCATCATTTGCCCAAATATCGTGCCCAGCGAAGCATCCTCTGTCCAGGTGGCGTACAACGGAAAGGCAGGAAGTTTCCAACATTTCAACCTTGCTTCGGATCTTGCATAAAGCATAGGAGCTTCACAGGGGATTTAGGCCGTGTCATCGATGGAGGATGCAGCAATTTTCGGAGCAAGGAGCACGCAGAGGAATGAAATGTTCATGCTCTGCTGGTAAAGGTCGGTGAACATGCACGGATGTGCAGATCCTTGCAGCAAGTATATGAGCCCTGCAGGCGCCAAGGGTGAGGTAATTGTCGAAGCAAGGGAGCGCGCAGAGGAATGACACGTCACACATCCACAGCATTCCATTGATACAGCCGCTGGTACCAAGTATTATCTTATGCTGTGCCGATCAAAGTCGCTGCCCATGCATAGATGTGCACCCGCTGCCATGCCTAGAATAATGCAATGCTTGGTTCACGCTACTGTATCCCAGGTCGAGTATTTCTAGCTACCTCGCACGTTAACTCCGCTGTGTCTTCTCAGCTTGAAGTCTGTAAAAGACCGAGATCAACAATGACCATCCAACAGAACAAGATAATCACCATCTTCGGCGGGACAGGGAACCAGGGTGGTAGTGTCGCAAGATCCCTGCTGGCTCACAAGGACGGCCGCTTTCATGTCAGGGTCATCACCAGAGACCCGTCGTCCGACAGAGCAAAGGCCATCGCGGCTGATGGCGCGTCGCTCGTCCAGGCGGATGGCTTCAATCGTGAGCAGATGGCCGCCGCCCTCGCGGGTAGCTGGGGTGTATTCATCAACACGAACTCAGACGACGAAGTAAGTCTGTCGCGCATCAGAAGCGGGCCATTTGCTTTCCATGCGCTAATGCGACAGGCCCTCAAATCGCTGGACGGACCCAGCGACTATGACCTCGGCGCCGCGGTGATTGACGCAGCAGAGGAAGCCGGAGTTCCGCACGTCGTGTACAGCTCCGGCCCTTCAATCACCAATGCCACCAAGGGCAGGATCCATCTAGAGGGATTTGAAAGTACAGCGCCTCCTCTTGCCTGACACCTCTGATCGAACCACGAACTGCACTAACTTCTCTCAGCCAAATACCACGTGGAACAATACGCCCGAGCAAAGAGCTTCAAGACCTTCACTCCCGTCCTCTGTGCGTCCTTCATGGAATGCTTCTTCTACGAACCCTTCTCCGACGCGTTCGGCGGGTTCCCATGGACTCCCAACCCGAAGACGGGAGACATCGTCTTCAGCACGCCCCCATACGGCGGCAGAGGCGATATGCCCTGGGTCAGCGTGGAGGACGATGTCGGCGATATCATCCACGGCATCTTCCTGAACCCCAGCGAATATGATAGGGTTCTCGTGCAGGTGACCAGCCAGCAAATTACCATGCCTGATATTGCAGCTTCCTACGCGAAAGGTATTCCCATTATCCATTTTCCATGTGTCTGAGTATCGTGCTAATGGTGATATCCAGCCACTGGAATTCCCGCCCGGTACGAGGAGATGCCTTCGTGGACGAGTATTCAGCCCAATGGGACCAGATGTCGGGATGAGACCCGGCTCATCTTCTGGATGATGAACGCGTGCGGTGGGCGCTGGTTTGCCGAACATGAGAGTGATAACACTGCTTCGATCAAATTGAAGAATGCGGCGCTGGAGGCGAGGGGTCAGGAGGGCGGACTTATCACATTTGAAGAGTGGTTTAAGAAGGCGCATGCGTTGAGAACCGAGTCTGCATAGAGATAATGTTGATAGAACTGGCAGAACCAATATGTAGACTTCAATCTAACAGAAGCATACACGGAATTAGGGCACAGGATAGCAGAGCAGCGCTCGAATCAATATACGGCTAGAATACCCTTGCTTGACGGGGCCTTTGCCACATCATCCGCTGCAGTAGGCAGATATATATCAAACCTCACTCCCCCCCCCAAAACCTTGCAAGACATCCGATCGACGGCAAAATCAAGATCAATTCCCTCAACACCTAAAGCTTATCCATAACCACCACCATGGGCTCCCTAGCACCTGCTCCGTTCACACCTCCATCCACCTCCACTCCCTACACCCACCTATCCCAGTACCTCACCCATCCCAACCGCGACCACCACGCCTGGTGGACCACCAAAGCCCCTCTTCTCACCCGCTTCCTGCAAGACTGCAACTACACCGTCAACGCGCAATACCAATACCTCACGCTCTTTCACAACCAGCTGATCCCATATCTAGGAATCTACACCGAGCCGTCCGTCGGCGACAAGGGAAACACTCTTCTCTCTGGAGCAGGGAAGCTGGAGATCGACCGCACATTCACCGCCACAGGGTCCTCTCTGCGGATTGCCTTTGAACCGACGAGCTATCTGGCCGGGGAGGGGGACACGGGGCCTGATCCGCTGAACGTCCTGCCCCTCCCGAGTCTGCTGAGCGCTCTTCGCAAGCTTCCGGGCGTGGATGTGGGACTGGACCGATACCGGACACTGTCGAACGCCCTGACGACCTCGGAGGCAGACCAGGCGGCGTTTCTGCAGAGCCCTGACCTCCAGGCCAAACTGCAGACCCTCCCCTCGCGTACGCAGAACATCCTGGCCCTCGACCTGATCGATGGCTCCGTACGCCCCGAGCTCTACTTCCAGCCGCAGCTGCGGGCGCTGGCGACCAACGCCGACGTTCATACCATGCTCCTCAACGCCCTGCAGGGCCTAAACGCCAACGGAGCCCTCAGCCCCGCGCTCAAGCTCACCGAGAAATACCTCACCGCGTCGCCGAGCACGACCCAGCCCCTCTTCATCTCCAGCGAGCTCAGCACCTCCCCAAACACCAACAGCGCAAAGCTATTCCTCATCGACAGCAACATCACCCTCGACACCGCCCAAGCCCTCTGGACCTGGGGTCGACCAGACGCCACACCGCACCCGCTCCAGACCCTCTGGGAGAGCCTGGGCGCCGTCGAGGGTGTCCGCGGGCCCACCGAGTTTCCCATGATGCTGATCCTCAAGCTCTGCGAGGAGGCGCCCTTTGTGCGCCCGCAGGTCGCCTTGCCGGTGGTGGGGATGACGGAGCAAGGGGTCGGCGAGGCGGTGGTGCGCTTCTTCGCCGCGATGGGGTGGGAAACCCATGCGGCGGGGTATCTGGACTCCCTGCGTTCGTACTAGTGAGTTCACCTCTGGCCCTGGCTTTTAGCCTTCTTGTTTATGGGTTGCTGACGTTGGTGGGTGGCTGGTAGTCCCGATGTCGAGCTTGGGCAGGCGCTAGGGAAACAGGCTTGGATTGCGTTGTCGGAGTTTGATGGGCAGGGACCTGCGTTGACAATCTTTTATTATTAGGGTAGGACTGGTAGTTCGGTGTTGTTGGTGGTGTTGTTGATAATAGTGGAGATAGTAGTGGGGGTGGCTTGATCCTCAAGAAGTTAGGGCTGGATCAGTGGTAGCAGTCTTGTTCAAATTCACAGCCGTAAGGCTCACAGATTGAATTAATGGATTTTTGTCTACGCGCCCGGATAGAGATCAATCATCAAATCCGGTAGATCAAGATCGTATCCATGCGTTACTTATACACATGTTGAATCGGATACCAGCCCAAAAGCACCAGATATTAAGATCAAATTCATGGATTGTTTTTATATACATACACGCTTGATTAGAGATCAGCCCGAAATACCAGAGACCAAGAACCAAACAGATTGCAAAGCATTCGACAACGCTTAGACAGGCTGTCGCTCCCCACTGACAACAATTTTATTCCGACGGGTGAAGACCGCCGACGAGTGGAGGCCACTTGCAGCAGCGAACCCCTCCAGCGAGGCCAGGTATTCGGCGTTGCGCATCACCGCCTGACAGATCATGTTCGTCAGCGAGGCTGCCTGGACCGTGGGCACGGGGAGTGGCGACGCCTCGGAAGATGAGGACGCTGGAGGCGTTCCCAGGCAGCCACCGGTGCTGCGTAGGAAGTCCATCACCGACAGAAGGGGATGCGAGGCGCCAACGACATCGATCTGCTCCTCCAGCATTGCCATCCACTCCGACGACACGGGGCAGGGCTTGAGCTTCCGGCCTAGCCCGAGCGACACTGCTTGCCAGAAGTCCCGCATGGAGATGCCATCTGTCATGGAGATGCGGGCCACGGTGGACCCGGGCGACGATGGTGCTGGAGCCGCGTGAAGCGTCTCGTAGACGATCAGGTTGGCGACCCAGTCCACGGCCGAGACAAAGAGCCATGAATCCGGCTCGCTGGCGTTGTAGGTCCCGGTCGTCATCGCAGTAGCCACGACACGCCAGAGCATGTCGTCAACGTTGGCCACGCCGTCGTTCACAGATCCGATGATAAACCCCGGACGGACGATCTTGAGTCGATGGGAGGGGCGAGAGCGTGCGAACTCCGTCATCAACAGCTCGGACGCATACTTGGTGCGTGTGTAGCCGTCCGGGATATCAGGCGGCGGTGTATGCGCGTCTGAATCTGTCGACTGGGCGTCGTCCCCGGACACCAGAGCAGAGACATAGGTGAAGCTGACCGGTTTCGACGAAGGTCTCAGCGTCTGCAGCAGCTGCAGCGTACTCCCGACGTTGGCCGCCTCGAGGACTTCGTAGTCATACCCCCAATGGACGACGGCCCCGTTGTGGATGATGGCTTCGACGGTTTCGCCACAGAGCACCCCCCAGTTTGCTGCCGACAGCCCCAGGCGCGACTGAGCCAGGTCTCCCGGCCATGCCTCGATGACGCGGCGATAGTCGTCCTGCCACCAGCGAGCCGTGCGCGCGGCTTGGATGATCCGTGCAAGACCGCTTTGAGGGCTGGATGCCCGAACCAGAACATAGACCGTCGCAACGCGATGGTCGCGCACCAGCTGCCGCAAGATGTGCGTTCCCAAGTATCCCGTCCCCCCGGTCAGGAAGACAGTCTTGCCGCGTGGGAGGTCTGTGGCCAAGTCGTCGGTGCCGGGTAAATCGCGCACCTCTTGGAGCGCTGCGGTTACTTTCATCCACCACGCCGGCGTGGATGGAGTCTCATTAGTGCTGTTGGTGCTGTTGGTGATGTTGGTTCCATTGCTAACATCGCTGGTATTGGTATCACTGAGCCCGTCTGTGCCATCTGTGCCGTTGATGCCGTTGGTGCCATTCATGCCATTCATGCCACTTATGCCAGTGATGCTACTTATACCATTGCTGCCATCTCTGCCACTTGGGCCGTTGACACCATTGATGCCATTGGCGCCATTGACGCCATTAATGATCCTCTCCGGACCGTCCGTAATCATCTCCGCGACCTCACGGACGGTGAGACCACTCCGAAAGAGCGTCGCCATAGGAAGCCTCTGCTGATACTCTCGGTGTACGAATTGCGACAAGGCCATGAGATCGATGGAGTCCAGGTTGAGGCGCGACAGGTCGACATTGCGACCCGCGACTGACGCGGCCAGCTCGTCCCGCTCCGTTTTCCTTGTTATAATTCCGGCGACATGCTGGCTTATCGCCCAAGCGACTGGCTCGTGATGTTCACGCAGCAGCTCCTCCGCGGCATGCCCATCGGTGCGCTCCAGCGATCCCAGCGCATGCAGATCTCGCGCGCCCAGCTCGGCACAGTGACTCTCGATCAGGCGTCGATTCACCTTACCCGATACCATGAGCGGTAGGTCCAGCGCCTGGAGGTACAGTTCCGGCACCATGATGGCCGGCAGGGTGAGACGGAGCTCGTCGCGGGCGTGGCGCGCTCGGACCTGAAACTCGGGGGTCTGCTGCCTGAAGAGGCCATTCTGGGACGATGCCCCTCCATTGACGACTTCTGACCCGGACCCGGGGAGCTCGGCCATTTGCACGAACGCGACGAGACAGGGGGTCGTCCCACTGCCCGACGGGCGGATGACCGCCGCCATGCCGTTGGCCTCCGGGCCAAACGCGCGGAGGAGGTGACGCTCGACGTCGGCCAGATCCAGCCGCTGGCCGCGGAGCTTGGTGTGCTGGTTCTTGCGCCCCAGGAAGCTGCAGGTGCCGTCTAGGTTCAGGCGCACCAGGTCGCCGGTGCGATAGATCCTCGCGCCCTGGGGGTGGAACTTCTCCGCCCACGCCGGGGGGTCGAGAAACGACTCTGCCGTTTTGGCCGCGTCGTTCAGGTATCCTCGGCCGACGATCGGACCCTGCAGGACCAGCTCACCCACGGTGTTGGCCGGCATCAGGGTGTTCACGTCGTCCGGGTGCACCGCCCACAGCAGGCAGCCCATGCCCGTCCCGATGATCCGGGGGTCCATCTTGCTGGCGGTGATGCGCTGCGCCGTCGCCCCCGTGCAGCATTCGGTGGGACCGTAGCCGCACAAGAGATGCACGCGCTCGCACCACTGGGCAATCTGGCCTGGGAGCATAGACTCGCCCACCGCGACCACCGTGCGCAGCGACGGCACGGCCTCCGGCGTGAGCAGCCGCAGCATCGAGGGAGTGATGCAGAGCCAATTGGCCTGGAACCGCTGCACGGCCCCGCCCAGATCCCCCGCGACCTCTTCGTCGGAGGGGATGCAGACGCATCCGCCGCTGGCGAGGACGGTCAGGATCTCCACCGCGAAGGAGTCGAACGCATAGGAGGAGATCTGGAGGACGCGGGAGTGGGCCGTGATGCCCAGCTTGGGCTGCTGTGCGGCAATGGCCGAGCAGTACGCGCCATGCTCGATCAGCACGCCCTTGGGGGTTCCGGTGGACCCGGAGGTGAACACGGCGTACAGCAAGTCGTGCGGCGCAGGGGAGGAAGGCAGTCGG